CCCATGTCGGCCCGTACCGAGGTCGGGCCTTAAAATCAAGCCAGGCCCAAGCCCAAGCCCGCCAACCTCGGGTAAAGCCCGCCCCTTTCGGGCCGGGCCGGGCGGGTACCCGAAAGATCGGCCGGGCATTGCATCTCTAGTCCCAACCCGCCAATTCTTTTTTCAAAGTCCCTCGAGGAGCAACGGAAATGGCGCCAACTTCCTTTCAAAGCCTCTCAAGACGCCGGAACACTAGGTGATTTCTCCGACATTGAAGTTCAATGTTTTCTTAAGGAGTAACATCGGGGTGGTTTTCGATTCCAATGATTTTTATTTGGAGAAATCTGTCGATTGTTCCTGGTTGGATTTTTATGCGTTTTTGATTTTTTCGTTTGAGATTAAGGATTGTTTATTCAGTTATCTATTGACTTTGGTGTTTTCTTTCCAGAAAGTTAAAAAAACCTAATTCTGAAATTGGACCCAACCCTAATAAACTTGATTTTCAGGTTTTTTCTTTGGAAGGACTGAATTCTTTTATAGTGTTTGGTTTTCAATTTTAATTCTGAATTATATATTCTTGTATACCATCAATTGATATATTTTTGGTTTGGTCTCACTCCGTTTATGGGGTGGGTTTGCGGGAACCATTAGTAAAATTGCCAATTTTGTATAGCAAATTCAACGCAAATTAACGAGAATTTTTTAATATGAGTATTTCGAATTCGGAGTGTTTTTCCTGAATGGGGAAAACCATAATTCCTGGAATTGACCCTAACGTGACCCTATCGATCTTGATTTTCAATTTTTCTCATTTCAAGGCCAGAGTTGCTTATCTAGTGTTTAGTTTTCAATTTGAATTTGAAATCATATATTTTTTGATTTGATCTATCGCTGTGTTTATCGGTGGGTTTGCGAGAATCTTTAGTAAGTGTCCTAAGTTTTATGATGCAAATTGATGTAAATAAAAAAGGATTGTAATTTTCAAATTTCAGAGTTTTTTTTCCCTAAAGGAAAAAAAACCCTAATTGCTTAAATCAGGCCTGACGCTGATCCTATGATTTTGATTTTCAATTTGACTTTTCAGGGTCGGAATTGCTTATACTATGTTTGATTTTTCAATTTGAATTTTGAATTTCATTATTGTGTTTACCATATTCAAAGTGAAATATTTTTGGTTTGACTATACTCTGTTACGGGGGTGGGTTTGCGAGAATCATTAAAAAGGTTGCATAAATTTTTATGCTAGTTAAAACTAAGACGTTTTGCTTTATTACAGTTGATTTACATAGTTTTTCTCTGCAAGCCGCCTTAAACTGTGTTAAGAAGGGTCTATTACGGAAACAAAACTCATTCATGAATGAGCATGCAGTTGCTTTGGATAATGGGTCATTAGTGTTATTTTGAACTTGATGTTTCATACTTATTACTCTTTCTTTTAATTTTGAATAATTCCACCACTTATTGCTTTGGTACAATTGTGTGACACATGTGATTAAAAGGTGGAAAGTAAAAAGGTCAATTAATTAATGCGACTGATATGATATGACAATAAAAAAGCAATGTCATGTTCAGGACGTTTTATATCGTAGTTTATATGTGTCACAGTTAATCTCTCCTTTTCGATCATAAAGTTATGATTTCTTTTTTTTTCTTTTTTAGCAGAACTTCACATCTTATGCTATTGCTTAATAATTGTTTCTATTTCTACTCTTTCATATACGATTCATCATTCATCGACATATTGAGCAAGTCTGTATATAACCCTTCTGCAGATATTTTGTTTTTTTTTTTTTTTTACACTCATTTTTTTTTTCGTGCCTATTTAAGCTAAAAATTTGCCATGTATATTTTGTCATTATATATTCTTCTTTTAAGCTTTCATGTGATTTTTCTGATTATGAATGAAATGCGTTTTTTGAGCTTTGACTGAGTTAGTGCAAGTAGAAATGATATTATATTACACATCAAAATTTTCTTGTATTGTATAAAGATTTTTTTTATATTTCAAAGTTCGTTTGAATATCCTATTGTTTTCAAATTCTAATATTTTATTTTGAAATCTGTTAGTTTCTTTAAAATATGTTGAAATTTTGCCTGATATATGAGAACATATTTAGTACATGAGCTTTTGGGTCTCTAAACGCTTTACTTTGGGACTGTTCACGCATCTGTCCTAAACAGTGGAGCATACCCCGCTAACGAACCCATCGACCGTAGAGTTTCCAGAATCATCAGTGTAATACAGCTTACCCACAAAGTGGTAAGCTGTCCTATTTGACGCCAGAGATTTGGTTGCATTTAGTGATAGAGACTCAGAAGCCTACCTCAAATAACTTCCGCGATCCTTCATACAATCTCTATCTTGTGATGTATCTTGGTTGCAGGTTATGTGGAAGTTGAATTGATTCAGTACATATTATTGCCTAGTTGCATTTATGGAAGAATTTCAACTATCAGGTTCTTTTTACTCTGGAATAATATTTTTTCTGCTTCACTAGCCTCAGTCATGTGTTTTGGTGTCTAACCTCTTTCGACTTGATTTGCCTTGAAATATCTTGGAGTAAGATCCAAGATTTCTTTGCTGCTTTGCTATAATTGATGATTGCCTCTAAAAACATAAGAATGCTTAGCGACTAGCCACCGTCGTGTTTTAGTTGTTTAAGCAACTGATCGGTTATTTAAGTTGCTTGTTGCCTTTGATCCTTTGGATGACTTTTACGGTAATCAAAATTTGCCATATTGTGTGCAAGCATTACTGTATTCTATTATTAAGTTGTTGCCTTGTACATGGTTTGACAGTTATATAAAAGTTCCATGTTGACATTGTAGCACTCTTGATATATATACAGAACTGTTATTTTGCCTCACTTAGTATGGTGCTATAATCTCTTTCTTATATTGTCCCAATAAATGTATTAATAGAATGCTTATCAACCAACAACCATTCATATGAAATTATATTTTGTTTTTCTTTAAGCAAATGGTTGCATTGTTATGTTACTTGTTATAATCTTTGGATGGTAATCATGTATTATCATATTATGTTGGAAGCATTACTATATTCTCATTTCATGTTATGTTAAAGTATTACTATATCTTCACAAATCAGTGATTAATATACCGATATTATATTGAAGCTTCATGTGTACCTGGTATTACCCTTGTTATATATACAACTTGCAAGAGATCTTACAATGATTATGCTACTGAAATACAATTGTATATAACTTCTATCTCAAATCTCTATATTGTGCAAAAATATATTATATATTTTTGTCTTTCTATATGAAGAATTGTTCAATTTTTTGAATTAAGACTTCTATCCTTTCATCATGAATGATTTCATCGGTTTGTTTTGAGGAGCTTCACAGTTAGAGGGTTGGCTTGAGGTAGAAGCAGACAATTTATTAACTCGCCTTTAAGTAAGAGCATAGTCACACTAATTTGGGTATTTGACTATTTAAATTGCCTTGTGGGTGTTTTCACATGTTCTGTTGAATTCATCGATTAAGTTCTCATGATCTCATGATTCTTTTGTTAAGATTTTATGGCTCCATTTCATTGAATTATGTGAAGATCTTGTGATAGGAGCCCACCCCAACAACTCAACAATTTGGGTTGGGTCATGGGTTGGGCTAAGGGTAAAACTCTCTTTGGAAAACCGACTTACTAAGGGAGGGCGCGCAAGCCTTTATAACCCACATGCCCACCTTTTTTCCTTTCAATGTTGGATCCTAACATTCCCTTACGCTTCGAGACCTAACGCCCTCGTTAGTCTTCTTTCCAGAGAGCGTCCGCCCTCATTGGCTACCCTGCCCTCATCGGCCTTTACTGCTCTCCTTCTGGGTCTTATTTCGCCTAGAAGTTTGTCAACAACTCTCCTTCTCGACCCCTCGAAGGACCCATTGGGCCCTACTACGTGGGCTCCACGTCGATCTCTTTACCCTTTGGGTGACTTCGCGGATCTCCTTTTCTTGGGTAGTAGCCCGAGCTCAAGGTTAGCATGCCACGCGTGCGTAGGATCATGCTCTGATATCAATTGATAGGAACCCACTTTAATAACTCAATAATTTGGGTTAGGTCATGAGTCTTTCATGAGCTTAGGTAGAACTCTCCTTGGAAAACTGGCTTGTCAAGAGAGGGTGTCCAAGTCTTTATAACTCACATGCCCATCCTTTTCCCTTTCAATGTGGGATCCTAACATTTTTTAATTATGTGAAGATCTTGCCAATTAAAAAGGGTGAAATTCCATAATGAAAATGAGCTTCACATTTGTAGTGCTATCCTTTCGAAGCCCATGGCAGCCGGCTTAATTTGAGGGAAAGAATCCAGGACAAATCAACCTTGGAAAATATGGTTTTATTACTAGTTGAATTAATTTGTTCAGCATTTATCGAGGAACTTCCTCTGTATCGAAAGAAATATTCCTAAAACATTACAATCAATCCGGCACTCTTGCATCCCCAATGCGGGCCACGACTGATTTAGCTGGGTAATTCTTGAACCTTACAATTTATCAGGTGATTTTGCATCTTGAATATGTCGGCCAGCGATTGATTGATTATTAGCTAAGTTATTAGTTTTTATTATGCTCAATTGGGTTGCCAAAAGAAATTGCCACGAGCTGGAATTTCACAGATTATTCTGAAGTTACCTTTGCGCAAACCGGATCCTTTTACAACACAAAAGGTTGGGTCAAATTACTACCAGTCTATTTGCAAAACCCAGGTAAATATTTATCTGCTTTATGTGTATCGATACAAATGAGTTCAAGCATTTGAAGCTTCCTTTCATTTATGATTGGGAGTAATATCATTATACATTATCACTTTATATATGCAACTCGCTTTTGTCTGAAGTATTCTAAATTTGAGAACCGACACTAAAAGTCAGGTCTCACTCATTAAAATGTCCTCACTTTAGGTGTACTGCTTTCTGATTTTTTTTGTTTTTTTTTCTTGTTCGCGTGCAGTCGTGCATGTGTTAACATATATATGAGAGAAAACAAACCATTGATTAGACATTAATTAATTTACATTACATGATCAGGAATCAACATTTTTATAAACATAGTAAACTAGGCAAAATGACTAGGACTTGCATCAGCTAACACACAATAACTTGCCCCCGTCTGTCTGATACATTAATAATACAACTTAAATTAATTAAGCCCTATCTAATTACCAATTGAACAAGAAGAATCCATTCACCATAATGTTTTAGCAACTTCATTTGGTGGTTAGTGAAGATGTACCAATGAGGGTTTTTTTTCTTTTTTTTCTTTTTTTTTTTAATTAGTGTTAATCATACACTAATGGTACGATAAGCAGTACCCATGGGTTGGCTTCTTCCTCTCAATCCATGAAGCTTCATCTCCTTGATAGCTGGATCTTGTAGCAGTAGCATCTTGTCCTTGTCTTTAACACCAACCATGTGTAAATATTCATTATCTTCTCTCTCTTTCCCTTTGAACAACAGCCTTTGCTCTCTTGGTTCCAAACTTGTTACCAATGACAGTATCATCTTTAGTTCCCCTGAAAAAATAAGATTCAGAGCAAAAATTCAGTCGGTCCATATCAAACAGTTTTAAGAAACTTCTGCATAAAATTAATTAAACTTTCAAGGGATGAAACGAACATGAGAGCTTACCGAAAGTTGACGTTGCTTCAATGGAGATATCATGCCACTTAGAAACAGTTGAGACTCTTAGAGTGATGGTGCCTTCTCCTACACTGTCTCCACTTTCTCTCTTTTGAACTAGCATTCCACCAGGCCTAAGTTCCCATTTGATTTCACTAATACCTCCATACTCTTTTGGACTAGTTGCAGTTGAAGCTGCTTTAATATTGTTGCTACTATTGCTGCTACCGCCCCCGAGCTTAAAACTTCCTCTGCAGAACCTTTTTGACCTCAACTTGATCATCTTTGTCTCCCTTAGTTCTAGTTGAAAACTTTCTATTCTCTTCTTAACAAGCTCTCTATTTTTCAAAACTCTCTAGTAAAGGGAAGAAGAAGGGGTGGGGACTACGTAGTTATATAATAGTGGGAGGTTTGAATAAAATAGAAAAAAATGGAGACTTAGCAAACTGAAGGACAAATGAGATAATGACATATGGAGTGTGATATGGGCAAAGTTTCTTATGCTGATTTTATGGGGGGCTCAGGCACATGGGAATGGTTATTTTGGAACACGCTTGCTTGATTGACGCCCAAACACAATTACATCAAATGGGCGGTTGGTTCTCCTCATCAAATATAGAGGATATATTTTTGTTTGAGTAATACTACGTGTACAAAGAAATCTTACAAAAATTTATGTATAAAGTGCTGTGACAAGAAATGAATGGAAGAGTGAACACAAAAAGTCAAACTCATCATATTTACTCTTCCATTCATTTCTTACCACATCACTTTGTATATCTAGTATTATTGTTTTTGTTTTACAAATGATTAGGACTTTGTTCGGAATCTGTCAAATTAAGGACTTGTTTGGATAAACCAAAATCAAAGAAAGAGCAAACCAACATGCCTGGCAGTTCCTTTTTGCCTCACTTTTTCTTGTCATCTTTTCCTTCTTTTAATTTATTTCCTTTAGAGCTTTTCTTCTTTCTCCTTCCATTCTTTCATGGAAGCTTACAAATAACAATTTCTTATTATCAAAAACATGTCTGACATTTATCTTTCCAGCTTCAGAAATATTGGATTGAATAATGATTAACGAGAGCCAGTCTTTTGAATCTTCCTTGAATTAGGTACTCATTTACCCTAATAATTTGCATTAGTCTGACCGTAGATATCCAAATAAGACTTCTTGAATGAAGGTATTATCCTCGAATAATATTTAATTTTATACATATAATTAATGCATCACCTCACCTCTTAATGTATGATCAGGATCCAGAAACAATGAACAATGAATGATATATCTAAACATTTCCCCATTATATGACATAAAATAGACCCCAGAAAATATTTTCCTCCGCCGTAACATAAGGTCCTGGGCCCTGGATCTCAAATGTTTGATGGAATATATGTTAGATATTAAAAAGAGAGAAAGTTGTTTGTCTTTACTTGCTTCTTGTTATTTGATTCTATAATATATTTTAGGTCTCGTTCGGTGGGTGGCTAAAGATAGCTCTTGGTGTTTACTTTTTGTATGGGTAGTTGGCCAATCCTCAAGGCATCAACCCATGTGGGGAGAGTTTAGAATATTACTACTACTTATTAAACTAAAACCTTCCATATCGATGAACTAGTCTATACCTATTCGATTATTCTATTTCTTGCAATCATAGAAAATTTTAATCTTTACGTAAATCATGGGATAAGTTTCCCAATTTTAGATACATGTTTCATGAAACTTGATGACTTGTTCTTTTAGTGCTTCATCAACTAAGCAAGGTTAGGCTAGCCACCATGCTTGGAGACCTTTTAAGTAGTATTGTAATATTAATCAAAACCATTGATGTGACTTCACATATTGCAGGTTTTGAACATCTGGGATATGCCCAAAATTCTGAGATTGAGATAGGTAATACAGATTTTTCTTGTTCACCGATTCCTTAGATATGTTAGAAAGATACATAGCACCCCACATGTTTTAAGCGAGAGAGACATGATATAACATAAGTAATGTCACCATATGAAGCAAATAGGCTTACCAAAGCGCATGTGGGAGGGCCCTGACCCTGAGTTGATTCCATGCATGTATATGTCATCTAGGTATGAGTTACAATTATGGAGCTGTTTTGATTGATTCAAAAAATCCAAACCCAGAAAGAAAATTCTTTGAAATTAATTTGATAGTGCTGTGAAATATATAAATTTATTTACCTTGGTGATTTAAACCCATGATATCTTCATGTGTGGTGTGGTAATCAATTATCAATGGCATATGCAGACAAGCTTGGATTCTTAATAAGTTTTGAGTCTACTTGTCAAATTTTGAATCGAAAGATGATTAAAAATTAGTTAAAACGGTTAAACTTTGGAGGTAACACGTGAAGATATGATATCTAGAAACGCATGCAAAGAGAAATAATGCAGCACAAGATAGATACTTTCACGCCCCCCACAGGATTTGCTGCTTGTTTGGATGCCCATTCAGAAGATATAGCCAGAGATTTTATGCGCATCGATGCCATTTTAGCCTCAATTATACAGTCTTTGCATTGCATGCATTGGCTGGACCTGGACTTATTTTACATTTCTTATGGGGTGCATTATTCCATACTATTTTTTTTTTTTTTTTTTTAATTATTTAGAAACGACATCTACCCATCAGTGATCAGTCCCTTCTGTTCTTGTATTATAGCACGCCATTTGTTTTCATTTATCAATAGTCTTGTCTCTTTGTTTTGTTTTGTTTGATTAATTTATTGCCTTCTTTTTGTGTTATTCTTGTTTGTTGCCTTCTGATTGTCGTTTTTAACAATCCAAATATGATATTAGCTCAAGCCTTTTAATTTGGGCCTGGGCCTTACCCTATTTAGTTATGGGCTTTATACTAGACCCATTTAATCTCTGGGTTGGGAAAAAGGTAGAACCCATGGGCCATGAGACTCTGTGTTTAATGTTTATCCTTACAAAAATCAAACGACGTAGTTTCATTTGCTAATTCCAACATTTCATTCACAAGCTTAGCTTAACCGCTGGCATCAAAATATCAATTGAATGGCTGTGAGAAGACTACAAAAGACACAACACCAAATACTCACCTTACAACTTCACTCAAAAACCTCAATCTTCAAGGTATGAATTTCATTTCTCTCAACTGAACCAAAAATAATCTCTGAATTGTATACCAAAAAACAGTGGGTACTGTCACTGTTTTACTTGTGCATAATATAGAAATTAGATAAGAATTGGAAATTTACCAGGACTTTACAAATAACATGTTTTGTTGCTCCTCAGTTTTGTATTTCATATCTGGGTTTTTCTGCTTATTTGTATATTGAGGTGTACAAGATGCAAGCTTTAAGTGTGTGGCCGTCGAAAGGTGGCTGTGGTGTAGTGCCTCCGCTGTACTTAGAAGTTGGTTCTTCTAGTTTTTTCGGTAGAAGAAATAGAAGAAGAAAGAAATTTTGTGTTGTTGAATCTGTTTGTGATAGCACAAACGCTGATATTTTGTTAGTTTCAAGCAACTCAAGGTTTCGTTGTAGTGGACTGTGTTTTAGGAGCATAAAACTTAAGTCTAAATGTGTGTTTTTATCTGGATTCTCTAGTCTCAACCTGGCTATCTTTTGTGAGCCAAAGAAATGTTCTTTTGGGATGCCAGTCATGTTGGCTTGGGCAATGGAGGAACAAGAAATTGGAAATGAACTCCTTATGGTAGATGGGTTGTCCGAGAAAACCGAGAGTGACAATGTCGATTATCCTGGTGTAGATATGGTGGAAAATAGTGATGGAAATGATGACGAAGAAAGTGAAGAAGTTGATATTAAGAGTGAGGGCAAAGTTAGAGAGCAGGAGAGTTCTAGGCTTGATGTTAGGGCCTTGGGACAGAGTCTGTGGGTTGCTCAAACAGCGGATGATGTAGAAGAGGTTCTAAAGGACGTGGGTGATTTGCCTCCTCAAGTATACTGTACCATGATTAGAGGTTTTGGCAGGGATAAGAAAATGGAGTGTGCAATAGCTCTTTTTGAGTGGCTCAAGAGAAAGAAGAAAAATACAGGTGGTGCTATTGGGCCTAACCTTTTTTTATATAATAGTCTATTGGGTGCAACGAAACAATCTCAACAATTTAGGGAAATGGAGAGAATTCTGAAGGATATGGCTGAGGAAGGGATTGCTCCTGATATTGTGACTTATAATTCTTTGATGGCTATTTATATAGAGCAAGGAAAAGCAACCAAGGCCCTTAATGTTCTTGAGGAGATTCAGCAGAAGGGCTTTACTCCATCTGCCATATCCTATTCTCAGGCTTTGTTGGCTTATCGAAGGATGGAAGATGGAATTGGAGCATTGAAGTTCTTTGTTGAATTTAGACAGAAATATCTGAAAGGTGACGTAGGAAAAAATGATGACGAAGATTGGGAAAACGAGTTTGCTAAGCTTGAGAATTTCACCATTCGTATTTGCTACCAAGTGATGCGGCATTGGCTTGTAAAGGATGAAAACCTCAGCACCAATGTGTTGAAACTCCTGACAGAAATGGACAAGGCTGGGCTTCCGCCTGGTCGGGCTGAATATGAGCGCCTTGTGTGGGCTTGTACCCGTGATGAACATTATGTTGTTGCAAAAGAATTGTACGCTAGGATTAGAGAAAGATATTCTGAAATAAGCATAACTGTCTGCAATCATTTGATTTGGTTGATGGGAAAGGCCAAGAAGTGGTGGGCAGCTTTGGAGATCTATGAGGATTTATTGGACAAGGGACCAAAGCCTAATAACATGTCAGATGAATTAATTGTCTCTCACTTTAACATATTGCTTAGTGCAGCTAGGAAAAGAGGAATTTGGAGATGGGGTGTTAGGTTGCTCAATAAAATGGAAGAAAAAGGTCTTAAACCTGGAAGTAGGGAGTGGAATGCAGTTCTTGTTGCCTGTTCCAAGGCCTCAGAATATTCCGCTGCTGTGCAGATATTTAAGAGAATGGTTGAAAAAGGTGAAAAACCCACAATCATCTCCTATGCAGCGTTGCTTAGTGCCTTCGAAAAGGGCAAACTCTATGATGAAGCCCTCCGGGTGTGGGAACATATGCTCAATGTTGGCGTGGAACCAAACCTTTACACCTACACAATTATGGCGTCAGTTTTCAGTGCACAGGGGAAGTTTAATAAGGTTGAGTTAATATTGCAGGAGATGGCTTCAACTGGTATCGAGCCAACAGTTGTCACATACAATGCAATTGTCAGTGCATGTGCACGCAATTGTATGAGCAGTGCAGCATATGAATGGTTTCACAGAATGAATGTTCAGAACATCTCACCTAATGAGATCACTTACGAAATGCTGATCGAGGGTCTCGCA